TGCATGCACTGCCCAAGGCCATGTCACAGCAACCAGCCGATGCTGAGCTAAATTCAGCCCTTCACAGTACACAAGCCCCAGTTCAGGAAAGTATGTGATTAATTTTAAGAATGTGTATAAGTTTTTTCTTGACTAAGCCCCTGTGAGTAATAATCTCACTGTGTACACTTCCACAGAAGCCACTCGAGTAAGCAGTAGTGGCAGTCTCTGGAGGCAGCCAGCCGCAGCAGGAAAGCCTGCCCCAGCTGAACCGGCAGCAAAACTCCCACCCACTGAAGTAAGGGCTGAATTTCCTCCCTTGTCTCCAGTACATCTCTTTTTCTATTGAAGTTATGCAAACACAGAGTACTGACTACACCCAAGGGGGAACATGCGTATAATGTGTCTCTCTTCAGCACTAAGATCGCTACGAGCAGTGCGCATAAACAGTCTGCACATTGATCAAAGCAAATGTAGATAATTAAAATAGGATTCTACGCAGAAAGCTGATTTCCCCTGCATGAGTACAAATTCAGTCACATACAATATAGATTAAGATGTTAAAAAAAACAAACCACACACACACAGAAAGAACAAAGTGCCTTTTTGCTTCAAGTCAAAACCTTCTTAATATATCTCTTTGGGAGGTTTTTATCTCCTATTTTGTGTCTGCCTGAAACTGAGCGACACATACCAACCCAGTCCCACCAGGATCAAATAAAAGCCATCTTCTCCTCCTGGTGTGCTGCCCACAGTCTCACGGTGCTGTTACAGGGAGCGCATCCCACAGCACCGCGTAACACAGGAGAGAAGACGCTCTGGATTTGAACACATCTGTATGGCAAGGATTGATGCAGTTGTTTGCAAGCAGAGGTCCTCCCACATTGCAATTGCTGGGAGCTCACGTGCTGCCAGGTGTGTGGCTGAGAGCTGTGAGTGTGCCTGAGCGCGTGGGGCACACAGCACCAAGCTGTGCCTGCGTGCACAGGACACGTCACCGAGCTGTGCCTTGGGATGCCCCACAGAGAGGGCTGACACCCAGTTTGGAGAAAGCCTGCACAGCTGCAGGTGCCCAGGTACAAGGTCTGCGTCCTGTGTAAACCTCTGTGGTGAAGCAGTGAATGGGTCTTCACTTAATCTGCATAGAAATGATCTAAAGAAAATCAGAGTACATGGGGGATACTTACAATTACCACCAGATGACTGGTTTTGGCAGCACTGTGGGAAAATGGATTGTCTGGGTTTTGTCAAACGCTTGTTCCTGTGATCTCCCATCTCCCACATTTCGTTTCTCTGTCACAGCACAGCGAATGACACCTTTGGAAAGCCTGCAACTGGCTTGAGACCACCCTCACCCCACCAGGGCCCAGCCGCTGCTGAACGCACGGCTCCTGTGGGGGGGGAGGCACAGGGAAGCCTTGGCCTTATGCTCACCCAGGCCAAACAATGCAAGTGACCATGTGCAGTTGATCTGCGTCCTGAGGCAGAAGGCAGAGCCTTTGCTATTCTTCTGGCAGTGCCACAGATTACAGATCTCATTCCAGCACACGTGCTCTGCTCAACTCTACAGTACCCCATAACATTTTGAGTGGAAAGCAAAGATGGGGCAAGGGAGAAGTGCACAGACACCTCTGCCAGACCAGGGAGCATGGGGCTCCATCCTCCTGGTGAAGGCTGAACTCTGTCCCGCAGTGCTCCCGTGGCTGTGTAGGTCCCACCTTGGTGGGCAACTCAGTGCAGGTTTCCCCTGCCTCACCACACGACCTTCCCATTAATAGTCAGCAACATACCAAACATGGAGAGGAGGGAGATTTCATTGAACGTCTGAGCCAAAATAAAGAGAGCCTATTCACTGTCAAAGGTCTCCTGGCTGCTCCTTTTCTTGCTAGAGGTCTGGCCTCGCTACTCCTCTCAGATAGCATCAGCACTTTGTACTCTGGCTCTGAAGTTGCAGTTTTAACACAGTATTTTACTATTGGTGCCCCAAGGTTTAAACTGCAGGTAATCACTTGGTTAAGAGTGGTGTCAGTTATCATACTTATGCTTTGACTGTTCTTCTTTTTAACCAAATCTTAATTTTTTTTTCCTTCATTGTTTTGCATGTTATTTATCCCACCAGCCAATTCAATGCTTTTCCATTTGTCTATTTCAACAGTGACCTTGTTTGTCTGTTATTCTGCCAAATCTCTATCCAATGATTTATAATCGGTAGCATGCATCAGGGACCATTCATAGCTGAATTTGATACAATCTGCCCTGCAGCTTTGCAAGGAAAAGTGTGCAGACAGAATCGGGGTTCCCACATGCCCTGGTGCCTACAGCACCCTAAGTGCTTGCAGCAGTGCTTTGTAGGGCTGTGTATGCTTTCAAGGGATTCCTGCTGAAGTCTTTTTTCTTGCCAAGACCTCCTCTACAAAGCCCATCTGTGAACGTGATGCAAGGCCAGAATGACAGCCAGCACACTGGGAACACCAGCACAGGAAGAAGAAACAGAACAGCACCAAGTGAAAGCTGTGCTTCATCCTTCCCCATCCAGGGGGAATGAGTTGCCTCTGAGCTCCCCACCACAGCCTAGACTTTCACTGCTACAGATCAGGATCACAGCTCCCCTTAAATCACTGACAGGAAGAACAACGACTGCATCCTAGCAGCTGGTGCAAAGGGCAATGGGTGGGACATGGGCAACACAGGCCACCTCAGGAAGGCTGGGAGTGAAGCTGTGGGCAGCCTCTCTTTGCTGGGAAGCCCAAGCACCACACTTTCTGCTGCTTCCCTTTCACTAAAGAGCAAAGCCCTGCCAGAAGTTACCAACAAAACTCGCATTGACTTCACTCCAGGTTTGCACACCGAAGAGAAGAACAGATATCCTCAAGGTGCTAGATGAGCGTAAATGGGAAACCAGGAACAGAAACAACTGCATTGCACCTGCAGGACAGCATTTTGGGAGCTGCATCACGCCAGATGTCCCACTCACTCAGGGTGGCCTTGCAGGAGCGCAGTGTTCCTGGCTGGAGATGCGTCTCCTTTGACGCACAAATTATGGCTCCACACAGGCTGACCTTTTCTGTGACGTTAAAGGTTCTCCTCCCTGAGATGTTTTCATTTAGCAGTATTTCATTCACTGACTACAAATGGCGTCTTACTCCAGACAGTTCCTCCTCTCAAGGGAGTGCCTTGAATGCCCAAAATGCTGAGCTCCATCTACACAGTAATGGGCCTTTATGGTGCCCACTCCTCCTGCAGGTGAAGTTGTGTGATCATGGCACATGCAGTGTTAGCTCTGCTCCCCACCCCTTGTCTCATCCACGTTAACATTCACAGATCTCTGTGGACTCAGCTACAGCCAGCACACCTCAGCACAGACATCCGTCCCTTCCTCACAAACATGATGATCTGGCAGATGCAGAGGAACCACCTTGTCCTTGGAGAAACCTGGGGAGTATGCACCTCACACATAATCACTGCAGGTGTCCAAAGTGCTATCTGAGACAGTCTTTAAGCTTACACCACCTCCTTCCACAGTCCCAGAATGCTGCAGCATCTTATGGCTCTTCCTGGTGATGCAGAAGTGCTGGGATTTATCCCTTGCCACTGAACTGTCAAAAGCAAGAAACTCTGCCAAGCCCCGGGAATCAGAGACACCTTCCCTCACCCTCCTCCGGCGCTTGGCTGCAAACACACTGAGCAGCACAGCAGCCCTGGGGGATTTGCCTGTCTGAAAGGGAATGAGATAGAGTTGGCAGGAACAGTGTGGGCAATGAAACCCTAGAGAGGCTCAGAAAGAGAGTGGCTGCTGACAGCTGCTGGACTCCGCTGGCTCCTTTGGGTTGCTGTCAGGATTTCATTTATTTTCATCTGCAATCCCACCTAACCCTCCAGTCTATTGCAGAGGGCACCCTGCACAGGCCTTGTGTAACTGTTTGCCTGTAGGATACCAAAGCTCTTTAGCTCCTAAACAAGCTCATTTTTAACGAGGTTCCATCAGCTTCTACAAAGCATTTGTCTCTATGTATTGTTGATGAAAGAGTGAAAGCAAACCCCAAAGGAGCCTCTAAAGATCCCTGAACAACAGCACACAGGAAACAATAGCCTTGGCACAAGGAAATCAGACTGTATTATTACCACGATTTTTTTTTCAGCCCTAGCAATTAACGCATTTACAAGAAAACTCTATTTTTAAGAGAACTGTTAAAAACCCTCCACTTAGCTCACGCACCATTTAATGTGCCAGTAGAAACTGAATAGGAATTATTCACTGAACTTGTATTGTACTTTCTGCACGTCCCACTGAACAACCTTCCATCAAAGTCAAGGTCAAGCGTGATTGCATGCTAGAGTAATTCAATGAGCAGCAGTGAAACACATCCAACAAAGCCCAGGGAAGCTTTGAACTGACCCAAGCATCCACCCAGGGTACCACAGCTAATATTTGCACAGCTGTGAGCACAACAAAGACAACCTGCTGCAGCATCCCACAGGCAGGGATGAAATGCATCTGAGAAAGCACATGACTTTCGCCCCAGACGTTTGAGCGTGATTCCTGGGATACATCACACTGCCCCTTATGCCAATGCCCACATCCCTCTCACCTTGCCAGGCTGTGCCCTTCAGTCCTACCCTATTGATTTGCCAAATTTATATTGCCTGCACCCTACCAGGGTGAGCTTCCAGCACTTGTTCGCTCGCTGCCCGGCACTGATGGCTTCTTATTAATTCCCGCTCCCGCTACGGGAGCGCTACCTAACCCTAATCCTAAGCGACAGAAGCGCCGGTTCCTGCGGTCCTCGCATCTCCGAGCGACGTTCAGACGGGCACAGGGACTGCAGGTGGCCCCCACCTCCCCCATCCCCATCCCCATCCCCTGCCCAGCCCTTTCCTTTTCCTCTTCCCCTGCTCTGAGCATCCCCTGCCTCTCTCTACCCCTTCCGTCCACCGCTCCCCAGCCTGGGCGCGGCCCCGGCGGGAGCTGCCCGAGGTACCGCGGTGCCGAGCCGGGCTGAGCCGTGCCGCCCCTCACTCACCAGGACGAAAGAGCTGCGCACCGCCTCCGACACGCTCTGCCGCAGCTCGGCGGCCGTGCCCGGCTTGCTGAGCCGCTTGGTGAACTTCCTCACCTCCGCCATAGCGGCATGGTCCGCGCCGAGCCGAGCGGGGCTGCTGCGGGCAGGCGGGGCCGGGCCGGGGCCGGGGCCGGGCGGGGGCCGGGCGGAGCCGCTCGGCGGCTGCGGGCGGAGCTGGGGAGGGCCCGAGCTCGGCTCCCGCCCCCGGCGCGGCCCCGCTTTGTCCCCGCGGCAGGTGCCGCCCGGCCGGGGTGCCCGGGACCGGAGGAGGGGGAGGCTCCGTGCAGCTCTGCCCCAGGTGGGTCCCTGCTGTAAGGCTGAGCTGGAGCCGGGACGAGATCGTGGTCCTCAGCCTCTCCGGGGTTGTGATGATAGCGGCCGTGAGCCCAGCTCCCTGGCTGCAAAAGCAAGAAAAGCAGCGGGGGTAGAAGGAAGGGTCCTTAGAAGTGAGATTAATTCCCGGTCCCGCTTGCTTTAGCACCGTGCATTGTTCCCAGGATGGTGATTTTGAAATTACAATAAAGGCAGAGAGATCCATTGACTTTTATTTTTTTTTTAATATATATTTTGCACCTTAATACCTTTATTTTAAATGCGTTTGCTTATTTTTTATTGTGTGTTTTGACTGCGCAGTAAAATATTGAATGGAATAGAGCTGCCCTGTAGTCACAGCGTTAAGGAATTTACACATATTGTGCCATATGGCTGATTAAATACTACTCACAAGGACTCCACTGGAATTAGAGGCACGCTGTCAGTCACACAACATATAGAGAAATCGGTTAGATTGTGAGAGCCAGTCTGTAGGGGGGCAATGAATACAGCCATTATGATCCAAACCATTTAAAATGTTATTTGTGACTTCTAAAGCATGCAAGAGAGTTATTGTTCTGCTTTTTAGCAGTTCACTGAAGGGGCAGCAGACACCATTTCATATTAAGCATTGCTCTGATTTTCTACACCAGAGGCAAAACAAATCTAAAAGTTTATCCTTTAATGTAAAATATCTACTAGATGAGGGACAGGAAAAGAATGGGGCTATTAGGTGGAGAATTAACATTTCACAAATATCCTTTCACTAGGCTTTTCCAAATCTTGTCTAAATTGTTTCTGAAGAAGCAATAAGCTTTCTGAAAAACAATTCCAGCTGCAGAGCACTGAGGTTCACTTCCTTATCCCTTCACCCATGCACATTCTTGCAGAGATTTTGCCAGCTAAAGTGCCACATTACACAACCCCACCAACCGCACTGTGATGAGCCGGGCTATGGCAACAGTGCTCAGTCACCTGGCTGTGACAGGACAGGGAACACAGCATAGCTTGTGTGTGTATGGCTGCTTGTCCTAGAACAGGGCAGCCTTTTTCATGCTGCCTGCAGGGAAGAGCCCAAGCGGTTGCTTTGGGCAGCCTGGGCACCACAGGAGAGCATGAGCCAGCACAGCACGTCTGATCAAGGACCAGCACTTACAGCAGTGCCATTTCTGTCTTTGGTTTGCTAGATAGGAAGAGCTCTGAGAACTAGAACATTTGCCAAAGGGCTAAGAGCAGCGTTGTGATGGGTCACTTAAAATAAAATCATCCCTAGAGCACCCACCCTTGTTTATGCAGTCAGAAGCAAGAACTTTCCAGTAAGGTTATGAGCTTGGTGTGGTGCCAGTGAGGAGCTGCGTCTGATCAGTTGCACATCAGCATCCCACTCAAATGAGCTAAGAAGCCATGGAAGACCAGCAAAGAGTGAGGCTGATTTTTGGAGCTAAGCATGAAAACAAAAGGAAAACAGAAATAATGGGAAGGACACATCACATGAAAACAACATGCAGAAAGCTCTGACTCCCTCTCAGGAAGCTCGAACATCAGAATATGAGTTTCAAGCACAAGGAGTACTAAGGCAAGATAACAGCAGCCACAGCATCACTGCAACAAAATTATAACAGTTATTATAACTGCAAAGAGCCCAAGGTTGCAAGACTTGTATCTCATTTTGCATGGGGAAGAAAGGCCAGTGATGGTTTTTCAGAAAAAAAAATGCAGATCCCAGTTTCATTTTTCAAAAAACAGTTTAGTAAAATATTTTTTCAGTGTATAACTTAGTAATGCCTAGGCTGCTGCCTTCTTCCATGTAAGCATCAGCAGCCTCTCCTTTGCCTTTAGAAGATTCCAACAAGAGCACCCAGCACCAGGCTCTCTATCTGATGGGTTACAGCTGACAGATCGGCTGCCTTTTTCCCAGGCACGTGCACGTGCATTTACTGGGAGCACAGGAACTGCAATGAACACCAGGTTTTCTGAAGAAATAGTCTTCGCTGCAGTCCAAGGTTGTCTTTAGGATAGCTCTTCCTGCTTCCGTTGTCTGTCACCCTGCATTCATCAAGGTCAGGCAGGGAACTCCTCTTTCTGAGGAGAGGCAAAATTGACAGCCTGAATGTAGAAATGTACTCTGCTACTAACCAGGCTTTATGGTCTACCCAACCTAAAAGGAAATTTCAATAAAACCTAAGTAACAGCACAGACACAAGCACACAAACAAACAAAAAAATAATGTAAAGCTCCTAAAACAACATGGAGTTCACAGCCAGAAGAGAACTCACAGCTGATGCCAAACTACCTCCAGCCTGTATCAGCCTTTGACTACCAGCTTTAAAAAAAAAAAAAAAAAAAAAAAAAAAAAAAAAAGCCTGAAATGTCCTCAGAGCAAGCACAGAATTGATGACATATCAGAAACCACAAGGGGATTTCAGTGCTTTGCATTGTGTGTGCTGATAGAGAAAACCCACAATATCAGGGTGTGTGTGAACAGCTGTCCAGGCTACTTTGACCTGCAGCCCGAGATTTGAAGGGAAGGAAGGATGATGGAATATGACAAATCTTTTCACCCTGGAAATCCAAATGTTCCCACAAAAAAAGCTTGGACTGGCAACCCAAGATAACAGAAAAAAAAATATATATATGTATATTTACCTATTTACATGACTTTCTAGACAGTTAAAATCTTAATGACATCCATTCCAGCTTTCCAAGTCATCAGACATCTGCACCTGCCTGGCTGATCAGAGGGTGAGCAACAGCACCAGCTCATGGTGAACAGCAAGGAGATACACTGGAAAGTATAACCAACACGGGTGAAGCAGCTCTCCTGCCAGCTCCTTCCCTAGGTCAGATGGATAGAACAGACTACAAGAAAACAAGATTTGCAAGGGACATCATAATAGACTAACAGCAGAATCTTCCCCACTTATCAGTAGCATTGTGACATGGAAGATGCACTAAGGGACAATCAATTTTTTGGGTAATAGACATCAGTGTCTATAGTGTCAGGTAGCTGACACTAATATAAGAACCAGAACCCTATTTATGGGACTCTGGAATCGTCTCTGAAAGCCTCTGAGACAAACTGAAGGGTTAGAAGCAGGTTTAGGATTTAATTTCTTATGAACCATCCAAAGTAAAAGACACTCATTATCATTAGCAAATAATCCCGTTTAGAACTGCCTTCACTGGTTAACCGTGGGCCTTTTTATCACCTTCAAAGGGGCCTATCCCAGAAAAACACTTAACTAAGTGACTGACTTTAAGCAGGTGATTAATCCCATCGTTTCACTTCATTGGATAGTAGCCTGCATTCCTGCAGTGAACCCACAGGACTCCATAACCCAGATGCAGACATATTTTGCTGGGAGGAAAGGGGTTATAAATGCCTTTACGTCTTCAGTTTCCTCACTTTGCAATTTCTGTGAGGTAAAACTGTGGTATTTTAAGGCGGTTCAAGATTTAAAATAACGACAATAAAAAGGATGCAGCCCTGGAATCACATCTGCGCATTTACCCTTCTTGATAACAAAGCCAAGGCACAGACTGCTCTGGGTTCAGAAGTGAAGAATTCCTCAAGCAGTGCTTTCTGTGTAGCTCATGCATAATGTCAAGCAAGAATGGGAAAAACCTACGTATTTGATAATCTGGTTAGACAACGCTTGCCTTTTCCTTAGCTATACACTGCACATCTGGTGCCCCAAAAGTAGCCTGATTAAAGCACTGGCACTCTTACATGCAAGGCTGGATATGGCAAGAACAGCACTGTTTGGACTCTGTTGTCAACTGAGGTTTAGCAGACCTTAGCTACTACTGTCACTCCTTCTGTGCCATCTGTCCTACCTATTGACTTGTGTCACCTAATGCTGGATATGTCAGAGGCACTGTCAACAAGAAACTGCTTATTGTTGTCTTCTCCACACCTGTGAAGGAAGCATACTGCAGCTGGGTAGCAGTAGATTAGTGCTTACTGACGCTTAATTTGAAGCCTTGCTGTTAAAGGACCGCCCTCTGCTGACTTACACAGGATTGCACAACCACAGCTCAAAGACAGGAGAACCATCAAGTCCAAACACTGATTTTCCCAGAAGGGTGCAGTCCAGGTGAGTGCTTATCTCAGCAGGGTCTCACACTGCTGCTCTGCATGCCACGGCTGCTGTACAAGGTGAGGCCAACTCACCTTGTGCAAGGCAAGCTGGGGGGCCAGCAGGATCTACGGGATTCTTTGTGAAAGCTGTAGCAAAGAGGTGGTGTTTATACCATATAAAGCAGCTTCTTTGCTTGCACGTCACTAAATGTGTAGCATCTATACCAAACTTCAGAAGTGTCTGAAGCGACTCGGCGCCCCAGCGACTCGGCGCCCCAGCGACTCGGCGCCTCTTCCCACAGCTCGTTTTTCAATCTTTCAAATACTTAAGAATTTTGTTCAACTTCAGGCTGACCTGTGTGCACTTGGGCTTCTGCAGCCTTTTTTGTTTTCCTCCAGTACTTAAAAGGGAGCTTAGAAGCCACCTATGTAATTTCACAGGATACAGACAAGGTGAAGGAAGTACTCAAACTCCTCAACAGTAACAACCACAGAACCCAGGAACTCTTACCTGCTGTCTCCTGAACTCGAGTCACTTCCAACGTGCTTCGCAGTGAAATAGTCCCACCAGGGTTCTTCTGAAGAAGGCACCACCAATGTAACTGGCTCATAGAGTCTCTAAAGCTATTTCACAGAGAGGGCAGAAAACTTGAACGAAAAGCAGCC